TTTTTTTTTTTTTTTTTGAGACAGAGTTTCACTCTCCTTACCCAGGCTGGAGTGCAATGGCGCGATCTCGGCCCACTACAACCTCCGCCTCCTGGGTTTAAGTAATTCTGCTGCCTCAGCCTCCCCAGTAGCTGGGACCACAGGCGTGCGCCACCATGCCCAGCTAATTTTTGTATTTTTAGTAGAGACGGGATTTTACCATGTTGACCAGGATGGTCTCGATCTCTTGACCTCGTGATCCACCTGCCTTGGCCTCCCACAGTGCTGGGATTATAGGCGTGAGCCACCGCGCCCAGCCAACCACTCCTCCTTTAAGCTCCCACTTAAATGCTCCATCCTCTGAGAAGCCTTCCATTAATGCCCCTGGCAGACCGAGGCTGACAGCTCTGAATTTTGTCGTCAGATTTTGTCACCGGCTTTCTCCCCTTCCTTGAAGCATGTTTAGGTCTACCTTGTATGAGAGTTTCTTGTGTGCTCCTCACCTCTCCAAGGGAGCTCCTTGGGGGCAGGAACTCTGCCTCTTTCATAAGTGTGTCCTCAGGGTGCCTAGAATGCACACAGTAGGCACTTTATAAGCATTGCTGTACAAAAGGGATGTAGGCTTCCTGCCTCACTTGTATGGAGTCATCTCAAGATAGTGTATGCCAAATTAGTGAAGGTGAAGAAGGTAGATGCTTGCACACTGGAAGGAAGAGGTCAGAGCTAGGAAGCGGCCTCCAAGGCCCGGGGGATCCCGCTGGGACCACCCAGATCCACCCTCCACTCCTTCCCTGGACTCTTCCAACTGCTCAGAAAGGAACAACCCACACACGGGGCTCTGTGTACGATATATATTTATATATATAATTGCTCTCATTTTATTTTACTTAATCCTCTTTTTACAGTAGATCTGACACAGGCATTAAATAACTGCAGAGAGAGACTGTGGTGGGGGGCAGGGGTGGGAAAACATGGGAACCTGAAGGGAAGAAACAGATCCAGCTAGAGAAAAAGGGAGGGGTCCACCAGCAGGTGGAGTACGGAGGCTGCTGCATTAAAAAAAGAAAAAGAAGGTTAGAGAGCAGGAGGAAGTGAAGCGATGCTGGAGGACAAAGAGTTAAAATACTCTACAACTACAGAGTATTCAGAGCAGGAGGCAGGAGGCCCCTCATTTGACATTCCGTGAGTGTTATGGGTTTTTGTTTTGTTTTTGTTTTTGTTTTTGTTTTTTTAAAGGCAGAGGGGTCTGAAGGAGATGGAGCCAAGACATTCAGAGGCTAGATTTGGAACTTCCAGGCCTGCATGCGGAGGAAAGGGAAGGAGTTAGTGATTCGTTGATAACTTGCTAAGAGAAACCAGAGAGACGGTGGTGGGGGCAGATCTGGGCTCAGGGGAAGGAGGTGGAATAGTCCCAAAGCCAGCTGATGTTTCCAAGGTGGCCACTGGGGACGGAGCAAAAATGGCCACCCCTCCCCCAGAGCTCCCTGGGAAGTGGAACTTGAAGGATATTCTGGGAAGGCGAATGGGGGAAGGGAGCCATCCATAAAAACAAAGTGGATATTCAGCCTAGGTCAACCCCGCCCCTCTGGGTAGCAGCTATTTGGGTGATAGAAGGGCCTAGGAAGAAACTGAAGGCCGGGTTCAGTGGCTCATGCCTATAATCCCAACCCATTGGGAGGCCAAGACGGGCAGATCACCTGAGGTCGGGAGTTCAAGACCAACCTGGCCAACATGGTGAAACCCCGTCTCTACTAAAAATACAAAAATAATTAGCCAGTTATGGTAGCAAATGCCTGTAATCCCAGCTACTCAGGAGGCTGAGGCAGGAGAATTGCTTGAACCTGGGAGGCGGAGGTTGCAGTGAACCAAGCCAAACGCCATTGTACTCCAGCCTGGGCAACAAGTGTGAAACCTCGTTGAAAGAAAGAGAGAAAAAGTGAAAGAGGGGAAGAAAGGAAGGAAAGAAAGAAACTGAAGTCAGGGGCTGCTAGAGGATTTTTGGGAAGGGTCAACACAGCAGGCCTGGTGTCCATTTCTTCATTTCCCAGCTCACAGAATCACCAGAGTGAGCAGCAGAACATGCCAGGAAAGAGGGAAAAGGCCACAGAATCACCTTGTCCTCAGTCACAAAGGGGTGCCTTTCAGAGGAGGGAAGAGGGATGAAGAGGCAAAGAGCTTCCCAGGAGCCAGCTAAGTTCAAAGTCACCAAGATAGTGACTGTGTAGACAGGGAGAAAGTGAGAGGGAGATCAAGGGACAGTGGCTAGAGCTTAGGAATGGAAGGATGGAGTGCCACAATCATCTCTGGAAGCAAAGGGGTAAGAGGCACGCGTGCACTTTTGTGTGTGGGGGTGGGGGGGTGTGTGGGGGTGGGTATAGGTGGTGGGTGGGTGGGTCAATGGGCAGTTCCTATAACTCTCAGGGGATATGCAGGCAGGAGAGTGGGTAGCTCTCACAGCTAAACCAGAACTAGAAAGGCTCCTAACGCCTCTGTGGCCATCTTGGTAGCCCAGCTCCCTCTCTGACTGAGCTGCGGTTGGGAGAAGTTGGTGGGAAATGCAAGTGACCAGAGAACCGCCATGGACTTCAGGCTGGGTTGAGAAGTCAAGGAAAAGGGTGTGAGGCTCAGACAAGTCATAGCTCTGTTATCAAAAATACCTTTGGGGTGGGTGAAGGAGGGATCAGGCAGGGTCAGGGACATTCCAGGAGCATCCACAGGAGAGAGGTGGGGTGGGAGGAAGGGGCCTCAGGTTTTGTTGATGCGGAGTTTGAATGCCACGCGGCCGGCAAACTTGTCTCGCTCATCATCTGTGGCGATGTTGGCGGCGTTGATGCGACATTCTACATTCACCTCCACATTAGGGGTCACATTCAGGAACTTCACGGCCACCAGGGGCTGTGTGTAGTTTACCTGGGCCGGAGGAGCAGTGCAGGGTCTAGGCCTGGGCCCACTCAGCCTCCTTCCCTAGCTCACCACCCGCCCCCGCCATCTGCCTGGGCCTCCCCTAGGACTTACGTGGAACTTTTTGCCATAGTAGGGGAAGTACATGAGGTCAATGTTGCCATTGGCGGGGAACATGACGAAGTGGCCGAGATTCTCAGCATCTTCATCTCGCTGTGGGGGTGCAGGAAGATGGGGGTGAGCAAGTTAGGGATGGCAGGCACCCAGGAGCTCACCAGACTTCCATTTGTTCTTTTGTTCTTCCTTCGCCCCCAGTTTTGCCTGCCTCAAGTCTGCCTCCCTGGAGCCGTGAGTCTGCGTGTGTGTGTCTGCGTGTGTGTGTCTGCGTGTGTGTCTGCATGTGTATGAGTCTGCGTGTGTGTGTCTGCGTGTCTGCATGTGTGTCTGCGTGTCTGCGTGTGAGTCTACGTGTGTGTCTGCATGTGTGTGTCTGCGTGTGTGTGTCTGCGTGTGTAGATGAGGGAATGCTCTGTCTCTGTCATCATTCTAGGAACTCCTGAAGGCTGGTAATGACACGAAAGCCTCCTACTCCACTCCCACCCCAAGTTCTTACCCCATCCTCAGGAATCAGTTTCTGGAGCAGAGCCAAGAAAGAACAGATAAGTGATTAAGGGTTGAATAGGAGGCAAGGAAGGGGATGTGAATCGGGTAGTAGGTTTCTAGAAAGGACAGAGCACTGAGTGGAGGGGAACAAGATCCCAAGGACAACGTAGTGGTGGCAGATGGCGCTAACAGATCAGCAGCTACCAGATATCTAGAAGGAACTGAGGGGTAGGGGCCATAAGGAGGGAGAGCAAAAAATATGGACAATCCGGGAATAAAGGAGAAGCTGGAAGGGTTAGGGAAGACGCCAGGGGCAAGGGCATTGGTGGAGGAGGGGGTGTGTCTGCCCCTACGAGAGCAGACCTCTGCATCCTAGAGAAGCAAGAGGAGTTCGAGGCCCTTGGATTTCAAGCTACAGTGGAGCCCACAAGCCCACTCTTACCCCCTTGTTTCTATGGTGATGGGGCTTCTGGGAGCAAAGAAGATAGGGAGAGACAGGTGAATTACACAGAAACCACGAAGGATACACAGGTGAGCAGGCAGTCAAGGCCCAGTGAACTCACCTTCCCAGCACAAGTAACATTCATGCTCTGGTTTGCTCCTGCATAGAAGTTGATGACCTGGAGTGGGGATGGAAGGTAAGGAGAGTCAGAGGAAAAGTCGTGAAAGATAGGTATCCAGACCAAGCTAAACTAGGCACTGTAGTCCCAACTGCTAGAAGGTTGAGGTGGGAGAACGGTGTAATTCCAGGGGTTCAAATAGCTTAATTCAATGGGCGACATTGTGAGACCCTGTCTCAAAAAAAAAAGGGGCATCCAGCCTCCTAGCTATAGAGCTTAGCCTCCAAGGCCCCGCCTCTTTCCCTCTCAGCGACACAAACATCCATGTTTCTCTCATGTCCATTAACCCCAGGGAAAGGATGCAACTGTCTACAGGTGATGGCCCCAGATCCTTCCTCCGTTCACCCTGGGGACCAAGGTCATGGGTACCCGGTTCATCTTGATGAAGACACAGGGCTGCCCAGTGCTGTAACCATAGTGGGTGGGGTCCCCAATGCCAGAGCAGTCGCCCAGCTGGGTCCGGTTGAATTGGCAGGCACGTTTGGGGTAGTTGAGGACTCCGTTATCTGGCTGTTCGTAATAGCGCCCAGGGCGGCAGACATCATTCTTCTGGGCTTGGATAGAGTCGTTGTAAGCTAAGGAGGTGGGAGGGGAGAGAGTCAGGAGCCAGATGTTCCATTTCCGAGGTCCCCAATCCCCTGCCCGAAGTCTTGACCTGCCACACAGCCCGGCCGACACTCACGCTCCAAGAACTTGTTGAGCTTCTGAACATGCTGGTCCCAGCTTTCAGTGTCACTGACATTGACAATGACATCAAGGTTCTCAGTCTTGGGGCGAATCATCAAGCCTACAGCCGACAAAGGCAGAAGTTGGGGGTATCTATAAGATGAGGGACGGCACACAGAGCGAAGAAAATGGACACAGAAAACACCAGGGTGGGGACAGCAGTGAATATCTGAGATTGCCTTCATGGGAGGGTGATTTCCTGTGGTTATTTGCCACATGCCCAAATCACACAGTTCCCAGCTGTAGGGAATGGGAAGGAGGACAGATTCCAAGAAGAACTTCCCAAGCATATAGGGATTGGGTCATCAGAATCAAACTCCTAGAAAGAACTACCAGTTCCTTCTGGAGGTTTAGGGGCACAACAGCAGCTAGAGTAGCTGGCAGGGGGAGCGTCGACACTCACCCGGTGTGGCCAGTCGGTCCTGGTACTTGGGGGTATGGTCGGAGACGGTCTGTAGCATCACCCACATGGTGAGGGAGAACATGGCGGTGAGGAAGCCATAAAAGATGAGGTAGAAGAGGAGGATAAAGGCTAGGGAGGAGGAAACAGAGTCAGCAGGGCCTACGGTTCCCGCTGTACCCTCACTTATCCCCACACACCCCTCTACCCACTCTGAAGTTCTGCACTGGGCCTGGTCACGGACCCACAGGGATGTCTTAGAGCCTTCCCCTGGGAGCAAAATGAGACAAGCTGGAAACAGGCAGTTGTGTCTGGCTTTCAGCCATGACTCCCAGCCCCCTCCTGGCCCTAGGGCACAGTGAAGCCCGACCTTGTGGAAGCCACAGAGACCTAAACTCTCCTTGCTGGGGCAACTCCAAGTGTAGGCTGCTGTCGTTTTGCCTCCAATTACATTTCCAACTTTTCAGCCATGCATGGTCCTGAAAAGGCACACATCTGTTACCTCTGCACTCATACTCATGCTTAAAGCTGTGCTAGCATGATGACTTTTTTTTTTTTTTTTTTTGGAGATGGGGTCTTGCCCTGTTGCCAGGCTGGAGTGCAGTGGCACAATCTCGGCTCACTGCAACCTCTGCCTCCGGGTTCAAGCGATTCTCCTGCCTCAGCCTCCTGCATAGCTGGGATTACAGGCCTGTACCATCACGCCCGGCTAATTTTGTATTTTTAGTAGAGACTGGGTTTCTCCATGTTGGTGGTCAGGCTGGTCTTGAACTCCCGACCTCAGGTGATCCACCTGCCTCGGCCTCCCAAAGTGCTGGGATTACAGGTGTGAGCCACCACACCTGGCCGACACGATGACTTTTTAAGTAGGTACTGGCCACCACTCACAAGCAAACCCTCATACCACCTTGCAGAACATGAGGGTTTGCTTTTCAAAGCCTCAGGTTTGAAAAGCAAAATCTCTCTCCTGGTGCCCTGGAGAAGCCAAACTTTGATCAGTTCCTGAAATGAAAGACCTAACACTAGCCTAGCTATAAATCTCTGAGACAGCTTGTTAGAACCTTTGACAGTCACTCCACCCTCAGCTCACACCCAGCACCCTGGGCAGAGGCAGGGAGGAAAGGCAGAATCTCCCACAGCCTTCCCTTGGTTGGATCTCTCTATGGCTACCCGGCCTGAAGTAAGGACCCCCTGTTCCCACCACTCTGGAATCCCAATCCTTCCATCTCAGAAGACACTTCTACCATGAAGTCCTCCAGTTCTCCCAAGCATTGCTGGATTCTTCCCATCCCAGGGGCTGGACTTTGAGTTCCCTGAGGGCATGGATTGCATGGGACCCACCTTGGGGGCCCCTGAGCCGGTGGACTGATGGGGACAGTGCCCAATCAGTTTGGAAAAATTGTAAACCGTGTCACACAGCGTCCCCTGTGTCTCAGTGACCCATCTTGACCATCCCTCTTGGGAAAATTCTACCCCTCCTCACCTGCACCTGTGCGGGTCACCAGAGCCCCCTGACCACTACAACTTCCTGAGCCCTGCCATGGTCAGCCTGGGCGGGCTCCCAAGCCATCCGACTGCCACAGACACTGGGCTGGCGGATGCACACATCTCACCACAGTGACCACTCATCCCCACGCCACCGACATGGGAGCAAAACCTGCAGCCTCCGAAAAACTCATACTATCAGCAGCCCCCCACCTACAAAGCAGTCACAGAAGGCTCCCAAGGCCAGGCGGTGGGATACAGACAACTTCCGCCGTGAAGAACCCCCCTAACATCCCCCCAAGACCCGCCCCCTCAAGAACATTCCCAGGGTCCAGGGGGTGGGCACGAGCTAAAAATAAACGGGGCTGAAGAGCTAGTGAGAGCCGGAGGTAGGGAAGGGGCGCTCTTTGGAGGTGGGGACGCCCGTGTGGAGCGGAGAGGCCCCAAGAGGGAGTGTGAGCGCCGCGGCGCGGACACGCAGGCAGAGCAGGCGACCCCCCGCCCGAGGGGGCTCCGCGGGGGGCGGGAAGGCGGCTGTGACCTACTTTCTCCGCCTCCGCACGGCCAGCCGGGGAGATTAGACTGGCGATTCGGCCCCCTCCCAGCCCAGAGCCCGGCAGGGGGGCTGGACGCGGGGACCCGGGAGGGGAGCTGGGGCTGCGCTGGCGGGACCCTGCGCCCCCCAAGGCGTCGCCCCGCGCCTCCCCCACCGCCCCTCGCGTGCCGGCCCTGCGTACCCCAGCTGGTCCCGGTGCGGCCCATGAACTGGTGCGTCCTCGGGTTCCACACGAACTCCTTCCACTCCTCAACCACCTGCCCGCAGCTCTTCTTCTCTTTCTGGATGACCATCTTGGCGGCGCGGGGCGAGTCCCGGCCCGGGGCTGGGGGCTGCGGAGAAGCGGGGACGCCGCGCGCTGTAGCCCTCCACACACCCAAAAGCGCGGGGAGCGAAGGCGGCGGGGGCAAAGGAGACCCCCCGCAGATATGCAGCTGCTGCAAATTCCGGGGTGCACGGCCACGCGCTGCGGGGTGCTGGCAGCGCGGCGGAAGATGCACCGATCCTAGGCCCCCCAACTGCGATGAAAAGGGGTGCTGTCAGAGCAGGGGAGAATAACAAGACGAAGGGGTATGAATGCAGCTTCACCCCCCAAACCGTCTAGAAGCAAAGCGAAAAGGGGTGCAAAAATAGACGGCTACAAAAACCAAGCAAAACGCAGAAAAAAGCGGGGTACAAAAAGGCAGGGAGAGGTGGGGGAGGGGGCCGCCCCGAAATCCAAGATGCAAAGAGGCTGTGGAACGAAGCTCAAGGCTCCCTCCGCCAAGCAGAGACCACTGCACCAGTGGCGGCTCGGCCGCGGGGGTGGGGCGGGAACGCGCAGTTGGGGGACAGCCAGGGATGGGGGCCCCCGTGGCGGAGGCTCCGCTCCTCAGCAGTGCGGGGCCCTCGGTCGCGGATCGCGGTCTTTATACTCTGCGGCTCTGGGGGTGCCCGCCCCCTTCCCACCCCCAGAAGCTCCACCTCCTCGCCACTGGCCCAAGCGACCTCATGCATATGTAAATATGGAGAGAGTTGAGCCCGCCTCCTCCCACGCCCCCTGCCTCCTCTTAGGGACCCGGCGGTCTCCCGATTACCCCCACCCTAGATACTGGACTGGGACAGGGTGGGAGGAAGAGATAGAGGGCGTGTCCGGGCGGAGTAGAGGGAAAGATAACCCCAGAGAAACGCAACGACAGAGAGAGAAGCTGATATATGCTCAAAGATGGGGGCCCCAGGCAGGGAGTTAGAAAGACACTAAGATAAAGATGCGGCGGAAGAGTCCAGGAGCAGATGGAGCCGAATATCAGAGGAATTAAGAGCTAGAGATCAAGAAGAAAGCGAAGAGACCAGCCGGGAGGCTGGGCGAGCCAGGAGGGAAGCTAGGACAGGCCATGCAGAGATGGATAAAGGCCACCCCAAAAGGGACGTTCGCCTGTTGGGAGCCGCTACCAGTCCTCCAGACACCACCTTCTCCAGTCTCACAGCCCCTGTCCACACTACTGGCTCTGTCCACGTGCAGAGGTCTCCCCATCTTCCCATCACTTCCTGAAGCCCTCTCAACACCACATTCTCAGTCCCCAGCACTGCCCTGAGACCCCTGCCCTGCAGCCTGGTCTATTTCGGTTCTCTGCCTCCTGGCACCCCCATCCCCATGCCTGAACTCCCCTCCTTATGTGTCTACTTGGGTCAGCAAACCTTTACTAAGCATCTCTAGGGACTGTGTGCTGTAGCCCTGGGGAGGCCAGAGACGTTCAACTGAAGCCGCAGTTCTCACAGAGCTCACAGTCTAGCAGCGGGGAGTAGACTTGCCTGTAAATACCACATTTTTTTTTTTTTTTTTTTTTGACGGGGTTTCACCATGTTGGTCAGGCTGGTCTTGAACTCCCAACCTCAGGTGATCCACCTGCCTTGGCCTCCGATACCACATGTTAGGAGTCATTATCTCGGCCAGGTCCAGTGGCTCATGCCTGTAATCCCAGCTCTACGGGATGCCAAGGCGGCAGATCACCTGAGGAAAGGATTTGGAGACCAGAGGTCAGGCGTTCAAGACCAGCCTGGCCAACATGGTGAAACTCTGTCTCTACTAAAACTACAAAAATTAGCCGGGTGTGCGCCTGTAATCCAAGCTACTCAGGAGGCTGAGGCAGGAGAATTTCTTAAACCTGGGAAGCAGAGGTTGTAGTGAGCCGAAATCGTGCCATTGCACTCCAGCCTGGGTGACAGAGTGAGACTCCATCTCAAAAAAAAAAAAAAAATCTGGGCACGGTGGCTCACACCTGTCATCCCAGCACTTTGGGAGGCCAAAGCAGGCAGATCACCTGAGGCCAGGAGTTTGAGACCAGCTGAACCAACATGGAGAAACTCCATTTCTACCAAAAATACAAAATTAGCCAGACATGCTGGTGCATGCCTGTAAGCCCAGCTAGTTGGGAGGCTGAGGCAGGAGAATTGCTTGAACCTGGGAGGTAGAGATTGCAGTGAGCCGAGATTGCGCCATTGCACTCACTGGGCAAACAAGAGTGAAACTCTGTCTCAAAAAAAAAAATAATAATAATAACTATTATCTCTACCTCTTTCAATTTTTCTTCAAATCTTGCCAATTTTCCTTGGAGAGGTTTTTCTTCTCCTTTCAGTTGTCACCTTAAATCCTTAGCCCAAGTTCTCAACACCTCACATCCAAACTGTCAGCCACGTCCTCAAACCCACTCCTTCCAGTCCAAGGCCAACTTCATGAAGTGAGACCTGCACAGTCACACAAGGCCTTTGCTCATTGTTTGGTTTAAAACTGTCGATTTTTTTTTTACCCCCAAACATTCATGGAGCTGAATGCCATCGGTGACTTGAAATTCTTCATAGTCCTATCTTTGAATATGTGCTTTGTAAGTGATGTCCAGTGGAGCACCGGTGCATGTGTGTGAGCAGAGGAGATATGTGTAATATGCTGTCCCATTCAGACAGCGTTCCAGATGCACCATAAGTACAGAATTCTGGGGTACCTACAATGCGTGGGAGTTCAGCCAGACTCCAAATGAGTATAAGGTAAGCATGTTATATCTACAACTGAATACGTGGGGAGGCTGAGCGCAGCTGGTTGCTAAGTTGGGTGTGAACATGGAAAGGCTCCTTCTGCAAGGAACCTCAAAAACAGTGGTTCAGGCTTCTAATCCCAGCACTTTGAGAGACCCAGGAGGGAGGAGATCCCTTGAGCCCGGGAGTTCAAGACAAGTCTTGGCAATATGGCCAGATCCCATCTCTACAAAAAATTTCTTTAAAAATTAGGCTGGACGTGGTGGCTCACGCCTGTAATCCAAGCACTTTGGAGGCCAAGGCGGGCAGATCACCTGAGGTCGGTAGTTCAAGACCAGCCTGACCAATATGGTGAAACCCTGTCTTTAAAAAAAACATTAGCCAGGCACCTGGCGCAATGGCTGTTGCCTGTAATCCTAGTACTTTGAGAGGCTGAGGTGGGTGAATCACAAGGTCAAGAGATCAAGGCCATCCTGGCCAATGTGGTGAAACCCTGTCTCTACTAAAAATACAAAAATTAGCTGGGCGTGGTGATGTGCGCCTGTAGTCCCAGCTACTCGGGAGGCTGACGCAGGAGAATCTCTTGAATCCAAGAGGCAGAGTTGCAATGAGCTGAGATTGCACCACTGTACTCCAGCCTGGTGAAGAGTGAGACTCCGTCTCAAAAAAATAAAACTTAGCCAAGCATGGTGGCACACACCTCTATTCCCAGCTACTTAGGAGGCTGATCTGGGAGGACTGGATCGCTATGATCACGCCGCTGTACCCTAGCATAAGTATAGAATGAGAAACTCTTTTTTTTTTTTACTTTTTTTTTTTTTAAG